GGCTACTTGAGTATTGTCAAAGTTTCAAAACTTTTACGCGTTGTACACGTATTAAACCATGCCGCCGAAAGGTGGCGGCGCCGCCGAGCTGGAGGCGAATTCCACCTTTGAGGCCCGCGCGCCGGACGAGGTCCCCGCCCCCGAGGAAGTTGCCGCCTTCGAGCCGGCGACCAGGAGCCTGGCGCCGCGGCTGTACCCGGAATTTGATGCGGAAGCGATCGATCAAGTCAACTGGGGCTTCAATTTTGTCGAGTCGTACTACCCCGACGTGAATGTGGTGGACAAAATCAACGTGAAGCAGAGCCCGGGTTCTTTCTTCGATGCCGACTTTCCGGTGTGGTCAAATGGAGTATGAGAGTGCACAAGTCCCCCTCCTCCTCTTTTGTATGGCATGAACGGCAATACAAGCATCAGCAAGAGTGCCGGTTTTGCATGACAAATTTGCGCTGGAGTGTAGTGCTATTTGGGCTGCCCGAACTTGTCATGCAAACAGTGCCAAGAGCCAAGGCGCAAATTAGGCATTTTGCATGACAAATGAGGGGGAGGGGGGGTTGTGCACTGTCAAATGGTGGCGCGGAGAAAATCGACAAGGGGGTAGCCGTATCCTGTGCAAAAGTATCGTACTCGTCTTGCAATCATGCATTACAAATCTTTCTCTTAAGGTAAATCAGCATTACAAATTTTATCTCTCATGCTGAGGAAATTTGTAATGCATTTATACGATTACCTTTTGCAATGCATAAGCCGAGCGAACCACGGCCTGGCGCCGGGTCACGCACGTGAAGACTGCGGGACATACCTTGGAGCCACCTGGTATGGCGTTCTCAAACGTTACATTCTCAACTGTTACATGAATTTGTCATGCAAAAGCACCTTGTTAAGCCGGCAGATCCAGATGATCGAGCTGCTTCGCATGACAAATTTCGGGAGGGCTAGACAGCATCTAAATCTGCGCCAAACTTGTAATGCAAAAGGCGCAATCTTCTTCCTTCCAATTTTGCCAGTCTTGCGTTACAAATTCATGTTGTAAGAGTTGACGTTGAGAATGTAACATTTGAGAATGCCATACCTGGAGGTGCTGGAGGCGAGGAGGAAGGTGCGGGCGGAGATGCAGCCCCGGCCCCGCTGGTGCGATCTAGTTATTCATACATCTTCGTGATTTTCATTTTTATTGTCATGCAAGGTTCTAGTTCATTTTCATATTCTTTCATCCTCATACATAGTCATGTTCAAGAACGCGCACCAGCAATAGCAAAGAAAAGGACGCAGGAACAGGAAGTGGTCCTCACTACTACTCATTGCGTTCAATAAGATTCATGTGCTCCTTATTTGGATGAAATAAAAATGCAGGCCAGCGAGGGGAAAAGCACGCAAGATCAGTATGACGAGTGGCTGGCCCCGCGAGGCGAGTCTTACTCGAAGTCCTGCATGGTTGCGTTTCTGGAGAACTGCAAACAGTCCGATATGTACAAGGAGCTGGGCGTCCCTGTGCCAAAGCCGCCGGCAGACGGTATTCATTGTACTCCGTTTATTGCGGTTTCGTGCTCTGTTCGCTGGAGAAAGAGTTGTAGAAAATGCAGTTGTACGGAGAAGTCGTCCGATGCGACGTGCTGAATTTCAATTTTTTTCTGATGCAATTATTCGCTCCGAAACCAAAATCTCGCGACGCAAAATAAACAATCGCTCCGTCAAAAAATATCCAGGCGACGAGGCTGAGCCACAGCCAAAATACCTGCGCATGCCCGCCTGCATGTACGTGCAGCCCACGCAAGACGTGGGTTGCGCCCAGGCTATGGCGTCCGCTTTCGGGGTAATAGAGGAGAACTGCGCGGATAAGCTGCCGAACGGATCCTACCTCTGGGAACTGATCTACCCCCAGGCCGAGGTCAGTTTCAAGACGTTAGACCCACCAGCGCCACCCGCTGGGGAGGAGGAAGCGGCGGAGGTATGATTGAATCTTTAATCTTTTGTTTTGGTGCTGATTGATGTGGTCCTCACGACCTAGTACCAGTACGCATCTGATTTCGGGTTGTTCGCTATTTGCATGCAGCAGCTGCACAAACGAAGAGGAAGATCAAGATGCGGTAGTTAATACATCGAATTATGGTGTTGAAGTCCACAAGCACAACTGAGTTCATCTTGTTCAACTTACTATCCAAATTAATTCTAAATTTCCGTCTCTCGAGGTTCCTCCCCCGCCGCCTCCCGGGAAATTGAAGCTAGTCTGCGGTTTCTTCTTCACCGCATGAACATGGAAACCGCTAGCAGAGCTGCTAGTACCGAGACTAAGTGTTTTTATGTTATTTATACAAGACGACATTCTCAACTGTTACACGAGTTTGTGATGCAAGAATGGAAAAAGTGGACGGGGTGACCTTGCGCGTCTTGCATGACAGATTTGGAACAATTTCTCAGCCTGTTTGGCCCTTCAAGAATTTGTCATGCAAAGCAGCTTGACCGTGCCGATTCTGATTGTAGTTTTGCATGACAAATCATGTAACAGTTGAGAATGTAACAGTTGAGAACGCCATAGTGGCATTTCTTGTTTTCTTTATACTTTTTGAATTATGTAGGTGTAATCAAGAAACTCAAGGTGGTATTCGTATTCCTAGGTAGAAGTTCCGAGCACAAGATGAAAGATCTTTCACTAGTACAACACCGAACTGTTGATGATGTTCTGACCTGTGCGTGCTGGCGGTTTTTCCCCGCGCAAGTCGCTTGCAATAAGAGCAAGTCTGTAGGGAAGGTAAATTGAAATTCTCTCCAATAAAGAGGTAGATTGTTCAAGACAACAAACAAACCAACACGGTTGAAAAACACGCCGGCGGAAGACAAGAACGACAAGGAACAAAACTACGAATGTCGCTGTTGAAAAGCCCAGAGCTCTCCTAATCGCTACATCAGATGATTCTTCTATTCCTTTTCCTGGCTTCACATAAATGAAATTCTACAGGTACATTGCAACCCCCAGCGGTGCTAATAATCATGTTTCTCGTGTTCGTCTACAATCTATCAAGTGGCTTTGAATCTTGGATTATTTTCATTCGTAAAAAAACCCAGGGGCTGTGTTCAAATTGTACAAGTTTGCTCGTATGCTTGCGGAAACGGAAACGGTCCATGTTGCTCCGAAGTAGAAAATGAGTTGTCAACTTCTAAACTCAAAGAAGCATGAAGCATGCATTTGCCAATTGGGTTTGGTGAGCTGTATTCTTTATTTTTTGGTATCAAGAAATTTTATCAAGGTCAGGGTATCGTCGAAGTTTGAGTGCAAAAGAAAACTTGTATTGATCTGGATTTCGTGAATTTTCCAGTCGGTCCGTTGTAGTTTTTCATCTCCCTATGTAGAAGTTGTTGTACAACGAGCTCCTCCCCTCCTCACACCGGGCAAGGCAATCCGCTGTCCCCCAAGGACACGTCGAAGCGAAACACATCTTCTTCACCGCATGAACATGGAAACCGCTAGCAGAGCTGCCAGTACAACCGAGAGGGGGCGCAGCAGACTTTTCATCTCCTCGCGTTGCAAGTAGTTGTCCCACCATCATTTATTTTCTACTTGTGCTAGCTTGTAGTTTAATACAGCTGTCCGAGGGGGACAAATAAAACGGCGCAACAAAATTTATTTAGCTGTTCGAAGATCACACACGTCGCCCTTATTTTTTGTCGCGAGGTAGGAAGTTATAAAAGGGTGCAGCTCAAACCTCAATTTCTGTGATAGAAGTGGGCTTCAGGTGAACTAGAACTACTTGTAGTTTTGAAAATGAAGAAGTGAATCCTGTTTCAATTTCTCAATATTGCCTTCGGTTTAATTCAGATTTCGATTTTGCGCTCCAAGTCGATACTCTTTTTTACTTTATTCTGGATCTGTTGCTTTTACAACTATAGCTGTGCTGTAGTTTATACTTTCCTGCTATCGTGTAAGTAGAGGGGATCCTTTTGATAGAGGAAGAAGAGCCGTGATCTTGATGGAAGAATAAGTTCGTTTTTCTTCTTGTTCACGTGACCTAAGAAAGTAATAGCCCCACGACCTCCACGGGCCGTCGCGGCAGGAGCCATTTGACGACTACACTGACCTTTTTTGACCTTTTTGTAAATGCACTTAATATCTGGGTCTGGATCATTCGTGCAAACTTCTACCGCGCATTTTAGGTCACGCAAAAATGATCTGGCACGCATGGACCGCAAAAGTTGCTCATCTTGTTTCACCGAAAGTGAGGATTTGTCTTGCGAATTAGGTATTGCTTTTGCTCCATCTTCTCAAAACCTGTGAAGAAGATGCTACATCTTGCATACCAGACCCTCTGTGTCATGCAAAAACAGGAGCGCCACAGAACTTTTGTTCCAGACCCGGACATATAATTTGCATTCGATATCAAGTAGATCAGGCGTTCACTTTTGCAGACCCTTCTACGTGGGGGTCCGGATTTCCGGAGATGAACATGCGCGCGCGCCTACTTGGAAGACTCTGCGCGACAAATGAATTTGCACTGGATAAAGGCCTGTAGTAGGTCTTCATATCTATTTATACGAGCGATCATCTTCGCTTTTCTCCATTTTTTCGCAAATGATAAAAGTTGTTTGCATTACATCTTCCTGCGATAAAAGTTCTTTCCATTACATCTTCAAAAAAGACAGTTGCTTTGTGCACGACAAAGTCGAGCTTTGCATCATTCGAAATGTCGCTTTATCTATCGTCACCACCTGCTTCCTTCGTCTTCTCTTTATCTAGGGCGGGGTTGGATTTGGAGCGTCAACATCCTCGGTTGTTGTAAACACAATCAAATGAAAAGAAATAAGTGAATCAAATATGATCGTCCTCCACAAACAGAAAAATAAAAGATAAAAAAGATCGCGTTGTAGTCTTGCAGCAACATCGGACTTGCTCTTGCATTTCATCAGGCGCAACAGAAGTCTTTCATTGCGCCTAGATTCATCCACAAATCTCTGGTCGGTGGGTCGTAAGGAAATACTAGTTTCCGTTCTCACCGTGCAGCTCCTGCCACCTTTTCTACTTCTTGTACGTAGTGTCTGATAAGATTCAGTTCGTATAGCCAATTTATTGAAGTTTGCGTATGGAATGAAAAATTCTAATTCCCCTGCTGGTGGCTCACAAAGAAAAAAAATAGTACGCTTTTAGAAGTAGTTTTTTCTTCAAATTGTAGCTTCAATCATTTCAACACCGCAAATATCCAGGAAAAAAAGTGTGTAAGTGTAACTTTCTTTGAGAAACAGCATTACAAATTTGCTCTTCTACATGACAGAGAAAACCTGTCATGCGTGGCTTGTAAGGGAAAACACACAGTAAAAGAGGACTTCGTGGCTGTCTGGCATGACAGGTGTAACTCTGTTGCATGTTCTGCAACACAAATTTACACTTACACAGTTTTTTTGCTGCATAGCAAAGGTGCGCTGGTGCAGGTACTGCATGGCCAGGGCCAAGTATCACAAGAAAAAAGTGCTCACAGATACACATTTGTTGTAACTTCAGCAACACAAATTTTCTCTGCGTGGCTGCAGAGAAAACTTGTAATGCGAAGATCATAAGGGAAAACAGGAAGGAATCGAGGTTCATCCCAAGCATTTCCTGCATGAGAAAGGTTGTCTGTGTTGCCGGTCTTGCATAGACTATGTGTGTAACTGTAACACTTTTTTCTTGCGATACCAAGTGCCGCTCCGAATACGCCTTGATCTGCTCCCGGGAAACCTCGTGCTGGTCTGTCAAATGCAAAAATGTCTGGGTCTGGAACTTGTGATGCGAACTTTGGACTCTAAAAACGTCTGTATTGCATGACTAGCAAGAGCAGTCTAGTTTTTGCTACGCGGGGAGGGTGTTTGTCATGCGGAGTAGGCAGCAGTAAGCCCTCTAAAAATCTGTGATGCTAGGTCGTGCATTACAGACATCCTGGGTCATGTGAAACATGCATGACAAGCCTCAGAATCTTCCAGACCCAGACATTTTTGCATTTGATATGGTCACCGTTGTACCGATTCAGCAACGCAACTGCGATGACCGCGGCGGGAATCTTCAAGCGCTGGAAAAACGCTAAGATGCCCGTGGCTTCCATCTCCATATTCACGATTCCGTGTTTTTCGTGCAGCTTCACGAACCACTCCTTCTGCTGTTTTTCGTCGATGAGGTTCATCTCGCTAGTATTCATCGCTGCTGCACCATCGCTATCCTGTGCAAAAGTATCGCACTCGTAGTAATCGCACTTATGCATGACAAATCTCTTTCTCAAGGTAAATCAGCATGAGAAATTCCTTCTGTCATGCTTAGCAAATTTGTAAATGCGGTTACTACTAGTACGATGCTTTTGCATTTGATAATCGCCTGGGCTGGTACCTCCGCGTCCGCCTCCAGACGAGAGGTTGAAATGACCGGGGGGCAGCAAAGCACCGTCTAAGCGACCCTGGCCGAGGTAGTAATCATCGGTCGTCATGGTGTTGCCCACGGTGCAGGGAAAGGGTTATGAACTGCAAAAGTATCGCACTGGTACTAATCGCATTTATGCATTTACAAATTTTATTTCGGTTAAGTCAAATCCGCATTACAGATGTCATTCCTCATGCTGAGGAACTTGGCATGCGATTTCTACTAGTACGATACTTTTGCAGTGGATAACGGCATGTCCTTCCCGATTTTCGTCAGCTCCGCCACCATCTTGTTGTCCGCGTCAGCCGGATCGCGGAACTTCTGCCCGAAGGCAGTGATATGCACTTCAAACATGTCTGGGGCTGCGACAAATTGTCATGCAGTTTTTGCATCTGAAAAAAGGTCTTGAATACGCGCAGAGCATGACAAACTCTCCGGAGGTTATTTCTCCATGATGCCTGGTCTGCATGCGACATGCCTTCTGCTGGAGACAAGATTCGCGCATCTTCTGCTGGCTCCGCAATACAGATTTTTGTCTGTTCCAGAATCTGCATCACAGGTTTGAATCTTCCAAACGTATGTTTGTAGTGCATAAGTGAACTCGTAACCCCATTCCTCTTGTCCGTCCATCGCTCGCTCTATCCGATGAAAAAAGTGTTACAGTGACTACACATCTGTTGTCAATTCAGCAACACAAATCTTCCTTGCATGAGAGGGAAAACTTGCAATGCACAGGGCATAAGGGAAAACACGCATGAAATGAAGCTCGGATGAAGGAGCATACATTTCTGGCATAACAGAGGTTGTCTGTCATGCTGGGCTTGCAACACAATGTGTAACTGTAACGCTTTTTTCTCGTGATACGCTCCGTGATGCACACCGTGCCCTCGGGCACATTCAGTCCACCGCAAGTGCCGCATGACAGTGCACAACCCCCCTCCCCCTCATTTGTATTGCATGAACAACAATTATACAAACGCCAGCGATGCGACCACCGTGGACATTGTGCATTACAAATTTACGTACTTACTGTAGTGCTGTTTGGGCTCCTTTCGAAATTTGTCACGCAAACAGTGCCACAGGAGGAAAGCGACTGGATTTGGGGTTTTGCATGACAACTGCAGGGCAACTGCAGGGGAGGAAGAGTTGTGCACCGTCATATGCCGATCCGCAGCGCTTCCAGCTTCTTCATCTCGCAGCCGCTCCAGAACAGAAGCTTGGTAATTTCGTTCAAAAAAATTATCGCAAGAAAAAACTGTTTCACTGTAAACTTGTGATGCATAGAGCGGAACACAAATGTGTTTGTCTTGCTACACACGCAAGACATTGGATTTTTAGCTGTGTTTTCCCTTAGGACGCACGCATGCCAAGTTTTCTTTGTCATGTGTAAAAAACTTGTGATCCAAATCTTGCAAAATCATCACAGTGAAACAATTTTTCGTGGGATAAAAATGCTGGTGCTCGCATTCCCCATCCCGTGAGAGAAGATCAAAACGCAATTCTTCTTCTGCTCGGTGGGGCATATCAAATGCAAAAGTGTCTGGAGGTCTGGAAGGTTGCAACTTGTGATGCTGTCTTTGGAAGGTAAAAAAAAATCTGTATTGCATGACCTTTTTTACCCCTCAACCACAGTCACCCCCTTTACGAACAAAGCCTCAGGCTTGATCTCGCCAGAGGAGTGCAGTTTGTGCTACGCGGAGTGGGCGTTTCTAATGCGGAATACGCACCATCAGAAGGCGAGTTAAAAATCTGTGAAGATGCTAGGTCATGCATTACAGGCACCATGACCATGAAGTATGCAAAATATGCATAACAAACCTGGCAATCTTCCAGACCCAGACACTTTTGCACTTGATAGGGCAGTAGCCCGTGACAAACAAACTCCCGCGGTCCTTTATCAAAATGAAAAATCCCCCCTCCCCATATCAAAACAGAAATCTGTGATGCGGGATTTGTGTACACAAATCACGCCTGTCTTGCAGGAAAGCACTGCACGCAGATCGCAAGCGTGAGGGGGTGCCTTTTGGTGTAGGAACCCAGCATGGCAGACGTCTGCCCTGTAGGCCTTGCAGCATTACAAACCGCCTGCATATCGCGGCGGACTCTTTAGATTTGTCTTCTGGCAAGACAGACAGGATTTGTGGTCACAAATCTGCATCACAAATTTTCGGAAGGACATGGCTTTAATATGGGGAGGGAGGATTTTTCCTTTTGATATCCTTCGCCCGCGACAGGTCTTCCACGGAGCGTTCCTTCGTTTCAGCGTCTTTCTTCGAAGTGGTGATGCCGTGGACGGTAGAATCCAACTGGTCTTCCGGAATCGGGAAGTTCACGTCGATCTTTTCCGCCAGCTTCTTCGCCCGGTCAGCCGACCCCATCATCAGGATCATGCGAACGTTGCCAAACAGCCCGTTGAGTCTTGAATCTGCTTGATCCAAACCCAGATGGTAGAAGTTATCCGGTTATGAATTGCAAAAGTTGTATCGACCTCGTATAAATGCATTACAAATTTCCCCAGCATACGAAATAAAATTTGCAATGCGGATTTACGTTAAGAAAAAGGTTTGTAATGCATGACTGCAATTACAACTACGAGTACGATACTTTTGCAATTCATACCGGCCCCTTCAGCTTCGTCTGAAAATACGTCCCCATCAGTTCCTATCAAATGCAAATATGTCTGGGCCTGGATTTGTGATGCAGGACTTCAAGGACAACAAGATCTGTAATGCATGAATACCATTGGCCAGTTTTTTTGTCTTGCTGGATATGGTAGTTTGTCATGCTAAATACGAATGAAATCCCCAAGGAATGCCGAGGGAAATTTCTCATGCTGCTATGCCGTACAAGCAGCAAGTTTGCAATGCAAGTATCAGCAACACAAGTTTCCAGACCCAGACATTTTTGCATTTGATAGTTCCTTCGGACTCTTCGTAGTACTACACTCCTCCTCCGCTGTAGCGGCCTGCATCTTGCGCTTCTTGGCCGCCGGGCTGGTGGTGCCACCTTGAATCTCTTCTTTCTCCTCGTGCCCCGCAGATGAGTACGTCGGCTCGGGGCTGGCGTGCATCTCCCCCTCGACCTGGCGCGGCGAGGCGGAAATCTCGCAGGACCCCGGGGGACTGTCTTGCAAAAGATCGGTAGTTTGCTCCAGGTCCTCGTGGCGCAGACTTTTCGGGTCCGCCGCAGTTCCGGGCTTGGTTTGTTCCGCTTGTGCGGAACAAGTATGGATTGCAAATATGTGGTCTGGGTTAAAAATGCTAAAAGTGAATGATCGACGCACTGCAGTACGCAGCTATGCATGCCAAATCTTTTGGCTGCAGTGTCGTACGTCTTCCGCATGGCAAACTGCGTTCTTGCATGACAGGTAAGAGGGCTTTTTCGTGCCTATGCAACACAGATTCTCGAGTCATGCCAGATCATAAGCATGACAAACTTGCATCCTTCCAGACCCAGACACTTTTCTTGCATTTGATAACAAGAACGCTCGTCGGTAGATGCTACCATCTTCTTCTTCACGACCCTGCTCGAAGAGACACAAGAAATAGAAAACAAATATGGAAGTGTCAGGTTTGAAATCGTCAAAGTTGAAATAATTTGTAATGCATAAAATGCATGACCCGAGGTACGTGTGTTGCAGAGCAGGCAAGTGAGGCCGATTGTCAGCCTGTTTGGGGCTACAGATCGAGCTGCTAAAGTAGCATGAGAAAATCGCTCTTCTTTGCCTAAACAGCATGACAAACTGGATTTAGGGACCACCGAAATTTGTCATGCGCCACTTGGAAACTGGGTTCCAACTGGCATCCATTTTATGCATGGCAAATTATTTCAACTTTGTCGATTTCAACTCTGACACATCCATAACAAAACGTTCTACAGTAAAAAATATGGGTATAATAATTTTCTTCACCCGTGCGGTGCTATCACGGTCGGAGTCTGTTGGGCGCAAAAGCTGAAGGTGGTTATCTTGCGGGGAAACTTCTACGTACAGAGATTAATAAGTACTGCGCTCCGCAGGCATGGTAGTTGCAAGATTGATCTAGGCAGATGGAAAAGTAAAAAAGCGTCCTGTCGTAATTTTGGATATAATTTAAATTTTCGTAAAAAGCACAATGAGCGGGATGAAGGTGGGGGAGAGTGCATGTGAAAATACGACTTACAAAGGACCAAACGAGAGTGATTCGTAGTTCCTCACCAGACTACTTACGTATGCCTTGCCGACGCTTTTATTTCAGGCTTGGAAACGGTTGCTGCTGCACAGAAAACTAGAATCATCCGCTGTTGCAAAAAACCAGCATCAGACATTGACCCGCACGCTGCTGAACTTCGAAGCTGGGACCTTCGATGCTGAAGATCGATCAGATATCCATCGGACGCTGCTGAACTTCGAAGCTGGGACCTTCAATGCTCATCGGATCAGATATCGCACGCTGCTGATCTACTTCGAGGCGTTTCAAAATGTCACCGCTTGATGGCCGCCGCAACCCCAGAGTTGTTTTCGGACTGCTTCTTTGTCTTTGTCCTCCTGCCTTCGAGGTATGTTGCCCGTGGGTTCGCGAGTATCATCTACCGCTTGAGTTCTATCGCTGCAGCTCTCGCTTCGTCTACGTCGTCGTTATGATCCTCAACAAAAACTGCGGAATACCGTCTCCTTGACGTTCTTGTCTGATAGAACTCAAACTGCACACGGCAGCGTTCAGGGATCGATAGACCGATCACCGACCGACGACTTCCAGAAACGGCGGACATCAACCGATGCGTTTGCATTAGGAGTCTGCCCAACAAAAATCGAGACGTTCTAACCCAGGTACTAACGTAACGTCGGGGGGGGTGGTGGGGTATGCCGTATGCCTATGCATGCATGCTCCGAGGACGTAGTTACTCAAGTCGACACCGATTCGATCGGCGGAGTGAACAAGTGTATGAGTCCAACGACGACTTCGCTTCCATCTTGCTCTACACATCTGGCTGTTTTTTTTTTTTCAATACACCAATCATACATCATCTCCATCATACATTATTATACACCAATCATACACCAATCATACATTATTATACAAGGAAAAATACTTCTTTCCATTCCAGTATTTCTTTTTTTCTTCATTGCATCACCTCCCAGGATTTTTACGAAAGCAGTGAAGACTATTTTCCAGAAAGAAAAGTGTAAGAAGCTGCACCGTGGCCCATTTCCGTTGCTGATCCGAATGCTGTAACATCATAATTCCTTCTTCCTCGTAGGCTGTAGATGCAAGCAGGGCAAAGTGAGCGGTTTATAGATTGCACATATAGATACATGAAGAGTTCTGAGAGTTCTACAACTTTACAAGTGCGACCGATTAGTCTAGTAGAAAGTTCTAAGCTACTCGGGCTGCGCTGCTTTAATGCCGATCGTTCCTGATATTGTGGAAAAACAAAAGTATCTGTTTAGCCAAGGAGGCGAGGGAGGATAGCAACAGCGATCTACAGAAAACTAGAGGACCTCGCGCTGCTTTAGGCGAGAGGAGACAAAACCAAAAGCAAGGATCTTTAATAGAAGTTTATCTTCGCCCTAGTAGCCTCAGCACCTCCCGTCCTTCCCGCTGTGATAAAAAATTTCTGCTGAAGTTTGCACCCCAATCGAAACTCGTCGCGCCCAAAAGCATATCTTTGTAGGTGCGAGAGGAGGCTTCGCTGATCAACGGCTCAAAGCTTCTCAAGCTTTGGTTGAACGCAGTGCCAGGGTTGTTCACATGCGCGCCGAACATCCCCGACAAATCCGTCCCAAGCGCAATCTTCTCTCCCCATGCGTCAATGGGTTGGTTAAACGTGCTCGCTTCGAAAAACAGGTTTCTCATATTTTGGACAGCACTCACGTTCCATCTGCTGAGATCCCTGTTGAAATTCTGGGCGCCACGGAACATATGGCTCATGTCTGTAACAGAACGCACGTCCCAGCGGCTGAGATCACCGTTGAAGTTCGAGGCGTCCTCGAACATCGATCTCATGTCTGTAACAGCACTCACGTTCCATCTGCTGAGATCCCTGTTGAAATTCTGGGCGCCACGGAACATATGGCTCATGTCTGTAACAGAACGCACGTCCCAGCGGCTGAGATCACCGTTGAAGTTAGAGGCGTCGTGGAACATAGACCGCATGGTTGTAACAGCATCGACTTTCCAAGTGTTGAGATCCTGGTTGAAGTCGCTGCCTTGAAACATCCCGTCCATGTTTGTAACCTGAGATACATCCCAGAAGAGCGGAAAGGAAAGGCCACGCATGTCCTCGAACATGCGTTCCAAGCTTTCCACGCCGGTCACTCGCCAGTTTGTGACGCTGAACGAGGAATGAAAGCAGAGTCCCCACGACATAGGTAAGTCTTGCCCTGCTGGAGGGGTATTGCTGCAAAAATCAAAACGAAATCGGAGCCGCCCGCCTCTCCGTGCGCGCAACGCGTCTGAGACGTTCCACGTGTCGGGCTCACCATATGTCGCCACAATCGAATTGCGCTGCTCGTGCGAAGTGTCGTATTCCGCATTGGTCCAGAGCTTGATCGCGGTCTTCAGAAATTCCAGGCTCGAGGGAAAGGGCTCCCCGCGGCGCTTCTCGTCCTTGGTCCATTCTGGGTCCGCGTTTTGCTGAAGGCTCTGCAGCCAGGCAAGCCGCGGCCTCGCGACTTGGTGCATCATCCCTGCAGCCACTGACCACTGCGCGAGGTCGCGGGGCGGTAAAAAAGGTGTCACGCGGCTACTAGTATCTTCTCCCATGCTCCACCTTTTGGAAGCACGCCTGCCGCCCGCCGTCGGGACGACCGCACCAGCAGAGCTAGTACTTCTAGTGGCCTTATCAAATGCAAATATGTCTGGGTCTGGAAAATGTAGTCACGCAGGTTTTGTATGGCCGCCCAGAAGGTCCTCTGGATCATTCTCGAGCCCGGCACTAGAACATAGGTTCTTCTTCTTCTGCGACGGCTTTGCAATGCCTATTCTGCATGAGAAATCCTCTGTCCCGGTGGCCAAAAGTGGACAGGTTTTGCATTTCCTGTTCATGCATATTCTATTTATAGATATAGCAGATCTTTGTGTGGCCGTTGAGAGAAGATGAGAGAAAGCATCTGAAATTCCAACCCTTCCAGACCCAGACATATTGGCATTTCATAGGCCGGTGCCGACGACGATCTTCGCGCCAGTGTCGACTGCGCTGCGCGGAGTCGAGGACGAACGGCGCGCGCCGAGGACGCACGGCGCCGAGGACGATCGGCCCCGTTGACGAAGTAGAAGAGCGCGCACCCGAGAAGAAGCGGGCAAAAAATGATCTTCTTCACCGCGTGAACATGGAAACCGCTAGCAGAACTGCTAGTACCGAGAGGGGGCGCAGCAGACTTTTCATCTCCTCGCGTCGCAAGTAGTGGTCCCACCATCATTTATTTTCTACTTGTGCTACCTTGTAGTTTAATACAACTGGTGTGCAAGGGAGACGGAGAAAAATAAAACGCAATAAAATTGATTTAGGTGGTCGAAGATCACACGCATGCGCATCGTTGTTATTTCTTGCGAGGTAGAAAATTATAAAAGGGCGCAGCTCGAACCTCAATTGATAGAAGTGGGCTTCAGTTGAACTAGCACTACTTGTAGTTTGTTTTGAAAATGAAGTGAGTCCTGCGTCAATTTCTTAATATTGCCTTCGGTTTAATTTAGATTTCGATTTTGCGCTCAAAGTCGATCTTCTTTCTATTTTACTTTATTCTGGATTTATGTGAAGATGCTAGGTCTTGCATACCACACCCTCTGCGTGATGCAAAAACAGGAGAGCCACACAACTCTTCCATACGGACCCGGACATATTTGCATTCGATATCAAGATCAGGCGCTCTTCGCTTTTGCAGACCATTCTGCGTGGGGTCCGGATTTCCGGAGATGAACATGCGCGCGCGCCTACTTGGAAGACTCTGCACGACAAATAAATTTGCACTGGATAAAGGCCTGTAGTAGGTCTTCATATCTATTTACGAGCGATGATCATCTTCGCTTTTCTCCATTTTTTCGCAAATGATAAAAGTTGTTTGCATTACATCTTCCTGCGATGCAAGTTCTTTCCATTACATCTTCAAAAAAGACAGTTGCTTTGTGCACGACAAAGTCGAGCTTTGCATCATTCAAAATGTCGCTTTATCTATCGTCACCACGTGCTTCCTTCGTCTTTTCTTTATCTAGGGCGTGTTCGGATTTGGAGCGTCAACATCCTCGGTTGTTGTAAACAGAATCAAATGAAAAGAAATAAGTGAATCAAATATGATCGTCCTCCACAAACAGAAAAATAGAAGATAAAAAAGATCGCGTTGTCTTTCAGCAACATCGGACTTGTTCTTGCATTTCATCAGCCGCAACAGAAGTCTTTCATTGCGCCTAGATTCATCCACAACTCTCTGGTCGGTGGGTCGTAAGGAAATACTAGTTTCCGTTCTCACCGTGCAGCTCCTCCCACCTTTTCTACTACTTCTTGTAGTGTTTGATAAGATTCAGTTCGTATAACCAATGTATTGAAGTTTGCGTATGGAATGAAAAATTCGAATTCCCCTTGGCTCACAAAGAAAAAAAAATATCACGCTTGGTGGAAGTATCTATTATCTTCAAATTGCAGCTTCAATCATTTCAACACCGCAAAGGTGCTATGGAACTGTCAGGATTGAAATTAACAAAGTTGAAATAATTTGTGATGCATAAAATCTATACCAGTTGGACCCACAGTTTCCAATCGGCGCATGACAAATTTTCCTAGCCTCTGAAGCAAGTCTGTCATGCTGTTTAGTGCAAGATGGCTGCTCTCTGTCATGCTAGTCAGCAGCCCAATTCTTGACCCTTACCAGCACTAGAATCTGCCTCCCTTGCGCCTTCAGCAATAGAGTCATTCTTTGTGTCGCATTTTATGCATGGCAAATTATTTCCACTTTGTCGATTTCAACTCTGACACATCCATAGGTGCGCTGGTGCAGGTACTGCATGGCCAGGGCCAAGTATCCAAGAAAAAAACATTGTAGCTGTAACTTTCTTGGAGGATTAGCATCACAAATATCTCTCGCATGACAGCAAAAACCTGTCATGCGCAGATAGTACGTGATAACGCCCTTTAATGGAGCCTACGACGCATGCCAAGCATGACAGACGCAATCATTTTGCATGTTGCGCATCACAAAGTTATACTAACAACGTTTTTTTCTTGGATACCAAGTGCCGCTCCGAGTACGCCTTGATCTGCTCCCGGGAAACCTTGTGCTGGTCTATCAAATGCAAAAATGTCTGGGTCTGGAACTTGTGATGCGAACTTTGGACTCTAAAAACGTCTGTATTGCATGGCTAGCAAGAGCAGTGTAGTTTTTGCTACGCGGGGAGGGTGTTTGTCATGCGGAGTAGGCAGCAGTAAGCCCTCTAAAAATCTGTGATGCTAGGTCGTGCATTACAGACATCCTGGGTCATGTGAAACATGCATGACAAGCCTCAGAATCTTCCAGACCCAGACATTTTTGCATTTGATATGGTCACCGTTGTACCGATTCAGCAACGCAACTGCGATGACCGCGGCGGGAATCTTCAAGCGCTGGAAAAACGCTAAGATGCCCGTGGCTTCCATCTCCATATTCACGATTCCGTGTTTTTCGTGCAGCTTCACGAACCACTCCTTCTGCTGTTTTTCGTCGATGAGGTTCATCTCGCTAGTATTCATCGCTGCTGCACCATCGCTATCCTGTGCAAAAGTATCGCACTCGTAGTAATCGCACTTATGCATGACAAATCTCTTTCTCAAGGTAAATCAGCATGAGAAATTCCTTCTGTCATGCTTAGCAAATTTGTAAATGCGGTTACTACTAGTACGATGCTTTTGCATTTGATAATCGCCTGGGCTGGTACCTCCGCGTCCGCCTCCAGACGAGAGGTTGAAATGACCGGGGGGCAGCAAAGCACCGTCTAAGCGACCCTGGCCGAGGTAGTAATCATCGGTCGTCATGGTGTTGCCCACGGTGCAGGGAAAGGGTTATGAACTGCAAAAGTATCGCACTGGTACTAATCGCATTTATGCATTTACAAATTTTATTTCGGTTAAGTCAAATCCGCATTACAGATGTCATTCCTCATGCTGAGGAACTTGGCATGCGATTTCTACTAGTACGATACTTTTGCAGTGGATAACGGCATGTCCTTCCCGATTTTCGTCAGCTCCGCCACCATCTTGTTGTCCGCGTCAGCCGGATCGCGGAACTTCTGCCCGAAGGCAGTGATATGCACTTCAAACATGTCTGGGGCTGCGACAAATTGTCATGCAGTTTTTGCATCTGAAAAAAGGTCTTGAATACGCGCAGAGCATGACAAACTCTCCGGAGGTTATTTCTCCATGATGCCTGGTCTGCATGCGACATGCCTTCTGCTGGAGACAAGATTCGCGCATCTTCTGCTGGCTCCGCAATACAGATTTTTGTCTGTTCCAGAATCTGCATCACAGGTTTGAATCTTCCAAACGTATGTTTGTAGTGCATAAGTGAACTCGTAACCCCATTCCTCTTGTCCGTCCATCGCTCGCTCTATCCGATGAAAAAAGTGTTACAGTGACTACACATCTGTTGTCAATTCAGCAACACAAATCTTCCTTGCATGAGAGGGAAAACTTGCAATGCACAGGGCATAAGGGAAAACACGCATGAAATGAAGCTCGGATGAAGGAGCATACATTTCTGGCATAACAGAGGTTGTCTGTCATGCTGGGCTTGCAACACAATGTGTAACTGTAACGCTTTTTTCTCGTGATACGCTCCGTGATGCACACCGTGCCCTCGGGCACATTCAGTCCACCGCAAGTGCCGCATGACAGTGCACAACCCCCCTCCCCCTCATTTGTATTGCATGAACAACAATTATACAAACGCCAGCGATGCGACCACCGTGGACATTGTGCATTACAAATTTACGTACTTACTGTAGTGCTGTTTGGGCTCCTTTCGAAATTTGTCACGCAAACAGTGCCACAGGAGGAAAGCGACTGGATTTGGGGTTTTGCATGACAACTGCAGGGCAACTGCAGGGGAGGAAGAGTTGTGCACCGTCATATGCCGATCCGCAGCGCTTCCAGCTTCTTCATCTCGCAGCCGCTCCAGAACAGAAGCTTGGTAATTTCGTTCAAAAAAATTATCGCAAGAAAAAACTGTTTCACTGTAAACTTGTGATGCATAGAGCGGAACACAAATGTGTTTGTCTTGCTACACACGCAAGACATTGGATTTTTAGCTGTGTTTTCCCTTAGGACGCACGCATGCCAAGTTTTCTTTGTCATGTGTAAAAAACTTGTGATCCAAATCTTGCAAAATCATCACAGTGAAACAATTTTTCGTGGGATAAAAATGCTGGTGCTCGCATTCCCCATCCCGTGAGAGAAGATCAAAACGCAATTCTTCTTCTGCTCGGTGGGGCATATCAAATGCAAAAGTGTCTGGAGGTCTGGAAGGTTGCAACTTGTGATGCTGTCTTTGGAAGGTAAAAAAAAATCTGTATTGCATGACCTTTTTTACCCCTCAACCACAGTCACCCCCTTTACGAACAAAGCCTCAGGCTTGATCTCGCCAGAGGAGTGCAGTTTGTGCTACGCGGAGTGGGCGTTTCTAATGCGGAATACGCACCATCAGAAGGCGAGTTAAAAATCTGTGAAGATGCTAGGTCATGCATTACAGGCACCATGACCATGAAGTATGCAAAATATGCATAACAAACCTGGCAATCTTCCAGACCCAGACACTTTTGCACTTGATAGGGCAGTAGCCCGTGACAAACAAACTCCCGCGGTCCTTTATCAAAATGAAAAATCCCCCCTCCCCATATCAAAACAGAAATCTGTGATGCGGGATTTGTGTACACAAATCACGCCTGTCTTGCAGGAAAGCACTGCACGCAGATCGCAAGCGTGAGGGGGTGCCTTTTGGTGTAGGAACCCAGCATGGCAGACGTCTGCCCTGTAGGCCTTGCAGCATTACAAACCGCCTGCATATCGCGGCGGACTCTTTAGATTTGTCTTCTGGCAAGACAGACAGGATTTGTGGTCACAAATCTGCATCACAAATTTTCGGAAGGACATGGCTTTAATATGGGGAGGGAGGATTTTTCCTTTTGATATCCTTCGCCCGCGACAGGTCTTCCACGGAGCGTTCCTTCGTTTCAGCGTCTTTCTTCGAAGTGGTGATGCCGTGGACGGTAGAATCCAACTGGTCTTCCGGAATCGGGAAGTTCACGTCGATCTTTTCCGCCAGCTTCTTCGCCCGGTCAGCCGACCCCATCATCAGGATCATGCGAACGTTGCCAAACAGCCCCTTGAGCCTTGAATCTGCTTGATCCAAACCCAGATGGTAGAAGTTATCCGGTTATGGATTGCAAAAGTATCGATCCTATCGTACTCGTATAAAGGCATTACAAATTTCCTCAGCATACGAAATAAAATTTCTAATGCACATTTACCTTTGAGAAAAGAGTTTGCAATGCATGACTGCAATTATAACTACGAGTTGTACGATACTTTTGCAATTCATACCGGCCCTTTCAGCTTCGTCTGAAAATACGTCCCCATCAGTTCCTATCAAATGCAAATATGTCTGGGCCTGGATTTGTGATGCAGGACTTCAAGGACAACAAGATCTGTAATGCATGAATACCATTGGCCAGTTTTTTTGTCTTGCTGGATATGGTAGTTTGTCATGCTAAATACGAATGAAATCCCCAAGGAATGCCGAGGGAACTTTCTCATGCTGCTATGCCGTACAAGCAGCAAGTTTGCAATGCAAGTATCAGCAACACAAGTTATTTCCAGACCCAGACATTTTTGCATTTGATAGTTCCTTCGGACTCTTCGTAGTTGTACTACACTCCTCCTCCGCTGTAGCGGCCTGCATCTTGCGCTTCTTGGCCGCCGGGCTGGTGGTGCCACCTTCAATCTCTTCTTTCTCCTCGTGCCCCGCAGATGAATACGTCGACTCAGGGCTGGCCTGCATTTCCCCCTCGACGTGGCGCGGCGAGGCGGAGATCTCGCAGGAGCCCGGGGGACTGTCTTGCAACAGATCGGTAGTTTGCTCCAGGTCCTCGTTCTTGGGCAGACTTTTCGGGTCCGCCGCACTTCCGGGCTTGGTTTGTTCCGCTTGTTGTGCGGGGCAAGTATGGATTGCAAATATGTGGTCTGGGTTAATGCTAAAAGTGAATGATCGACGCACTGCAATACGCAGCTATGCGTGACAAATTTTTTGGCTGCAATCATGTCGTACATATTCCGCATGGCAAACTGCGTTTTTGTATGACAGGTAAGAGGGCTTATTTTTCGCGCCTATGCAACACAGATTTTCGAGTCATGCCAGACAAGCATGACAAACTTGCATCCTTCCAGATCCAGACCCCGACATTTTTGCATTTGATAACAAGAACGCTCGTCGGTAGATGCTACCATCTTCTTCTTCACGACCCTGGTCGAAGAAACACAAGAAAACAACGCCGTCTGAATCTGGTGGGCGGAAAACCTAAGGGTTACTTATCTTGCGGGAAAACTACTAGCTACAGAGATTGAAAATAACTACTGCGCCCTGCAGAAATGGTTGGAAGTGAGTCGCAAGATTGATCTAGGCAGATGCAAAAGTAAAAGAGCGTCCTGTCGTGAAAATATTGGTAAATTTCTTAAAAAGCACAATGAGGCTGAAGGTGGGGGGGAGTGCGTGTGAAAATACGACTTACAAAGGACCAAACGAGAATTATTCGTAGTTCCACCTCACCAGGCTACTTAGGTACGTATGCCGCGCCGACGCTTTCTTTAGGCTTGGAAACGGTTGCAGCTGCTGCACAGAAAACAAGAATTATCCGGTGTTGCAAAAAACACGCATCAGACCATGATCCGCACGCTGCTGAACTTCAAAGTTCCGACCTTCGATGCTGATCGGATCAGATATCGCACGCTGCTGATCTACTTCGAAGCTGGGACCTTCGATGCTGAAGATCGATCAGATATCGCACGCTGCTGAACTTCAAAGTTCCGACCTTCGATGCTGATCGGATCAGATATCGCACGCTGCTGATCTACTTCGAAGCTGAGAGCTGCGCCAGCTAGTAGCACTATGGCAATGAAGTCTACCTCATGACGAGATCTGCTGATTGTACAGTACCCAACAAATAAACTTTTTATCCATGATCTTCACTAGGTCGTGTTAAAGTTAATATGACGAGGCTACGCAGTGATAAATGTACACCCGCGTCGTGCATGGAAGCCGCGTGGAAAGGTGAAACCAGGGCGGCATCAAAGTTCTTGCAATCGATCACAAGCAATCGAATAAAAATCAGTACGTAGCCTGATCACATTGATGCCAACATGGCTGCAGGAGAAATACTAAAACAGCGGATCAGGATCATGTTCCTCTCACACTACTAGTCGGTGCGGTAACGTAGGTGAACTGACACTAAGCCCTACACCAATATTAAAAAGCGCACATCAGTGTTTCGCCATCCGTACTTTTTGCGCGGCCTGCTATCAAGATGCACACAAAGACGGAAGTCTTTTCGGTACTAGAAGGTGCCATCGACATCACTTCACCATCCCATGGCAGCTGCATGACAGGAAGCTGGCGTTGACAGAGCTGCCCGGCCGCATGTCGGGCCCAGCAACCAACGAAATTTGATAATATGCGCTGTTTTTCTTGTATTACAAGCCTAGTACTTGTGCTGCACCTGCTGCATTCTGAAGACAGATCATATCTTCCGCCCACAAATGAATTATCACTGAATCTATGTTCTCGATCGGAATGATTAAGAGCCGCATCATCTTCTCAGCAAGTTATAGCTCACCGAATGTGATCTGCCGTTAGCCTGACTCTGGTTATCATTCTAGACGCCGGCGCTGTGTCGCGCAGTAGCTGCTGCCCGGGCTGGGGTCTAGTTGTTGTGCGAGAACTTCTTATCCCTGCAGTGCTGTAGAAATCCGGGCCGTCTGCAAATAGCACACAGCAGTGGTTCGGGTTGTACACCAGGTCCCAGCAGCCGGAGTTTTCTTCCGACCAGTCCTGGCAACAGTCGTACTGCCACTGCTTCACTTTCACGGCGCTGAAACCCAGGAAACAAGTGGTCATCTGCAGGTCTAGAAACGAGAAGCTCGTTGGCAGAGAAGTCGTCTGCCCGTCCGGTGGCGTCAGGATCGGGTCTTCGAGGAGAAGATCTGATTCCAAAAACATGCCCAGGATGTTATTGTGAGGAAAGATTCCCCCTCCCCATATCGAAAAAGCAATTTGTGTTGCTGTATTTGACTACACAAGTCGACTTGTATTGCTAGAAGGCCAAGAGACGCAGTTGCTTCCTCGTTTACAGGTAATTTGTGATGGTGTTTCCCGTTTCCAGCTGCTTCCTGTCATGCTGAAGACGTAAGGCTTTCCTACGCCAGCCAGCACTACAGTCCGCATCTCTTCCCTTCTAGCATAACAGCGTGACTTGCTATCACAAATCACGCTACACAAATCTTCCTTTGAGTTCCTAAGGGGAGCGGGGCTTTTTCATTTTGATAGATGTGCGGGCGCAAGGGTTGCAGGTAGGCATGATGCCGCTGCGGTTCTCGAGGTGACCACACAGACGCTGGACCACCGGCCGTACGTGCAGTAGCTGCTAATCCCTGATGTGTTTCCGCCTCTCCCTCCAGATGTGCGGCCGCAAGCGCTACGATTTCCTCCGTCCCCCTGACAAACATGGAGTCATGGTCCAGCCATTTTACCTTCTTCAAATCCACTTGCTCAGACGTCGCTTCAGTAACTGTAGGTGCCTGGTGGAAGACCAACTCGAAGCGGTTTTGCAGTCATGTATTGTGAGAAAAAAAAAACCCTCCCCCTACTGAAAAGGTATGCTCCTTCTAAAGATTTGTGATGGTGATTTGTGACCACAGAGCCTGTCGTTCTTGCAAGGAGGCAGATCCAAAGAATCCGCCGACTTATGCAGGCGATTTGTAATGCTGTTACGGCTACAACATGGCAGGCCTCTGCTATGCTAAGTACCTACACCAAAACACCCCTGTACAACAGGCGTTGGCCTTGCCTGCAGGGCCTCACTGCAAGACAGAGCTGATTTGTGTACGCAAATCCAGCAACAGAAGCTTCCGTTTCAATATGGGGAGGGCGGATTTTTCACTTTGATATCTCCTGCCCTGTGTTTCGCTCGGGTCGTGTTTCCGCAAAAACCACTGGAAAGTATCTCTGGAAACGTACAACCCCGGGCGCTATCAAATGTAAAAGTGTCTGGGTCTCTCTGGAAGAGTGCGCGATTTGTCATGCAGCTTTTCCAAGACCCATGCGGTCTGGAATGCAGGACATAGCATGACAGATTCTGTGCGATCTCTCCCATGCCTATCCTGCATGAGAAACTCCCTCCCGATTGGGTCAAAACTGGACGACTTGTGGTAATCATGCAACACAGATTTTTGCATGCTTCAGATTTAGCATGACAAGTTGCACTCTTCCAGACCCAGACATTTTTACATTTGATAGCCGCAGCATGCCCACCCGGTGCTCGTAAAATTGGTGGGGAAACCAGTTTATGCTGTGCAAAAGTATCGCACTCGCAGTATATCGCAGTTATGCATTACAAATCTAGTTGGTTAGGTAAATCCACATTACAAATTTACTTAATTTGTAATGCTGAGCCAATGTTGTATTGCGATTTGTACTAGTACGATACTTTTGCAGTGCAAACAGTTGACGTCGAGGGAAGATGACTCGCGGAAATTAGCACAGCTCACGCCTTATCAAGTGCAAACACTTTAGGGTCTGGAAGGGTGTGATGCTGCTTGTGCATGACGCAGAAGCTCTGGCATGCAAGTCCTAGCATCACAGGTTTATTTGAGCAGTTTTCTCCATGGCTAATCCGCATGAGAAATTATGCCGTCTGAGTGACACGAAATGAGCCTAGCAACTTTTGCGGTCCACGCATGACAGATTTTTGTCTGGTGTGAAATGTGCATCAGAAGTTTTCATGTTTCTTGACCCAGACGTATTTGCAGCGCATACGCTCGACGTACCAGAAGCGGTTCGGGCGGCGATGGTCGCGTTGGCATTGGTCTGGTCGCCAGCTGAGGTCCACCTCGGTAGTTCATCTCGTTTGTGCATGCAGAGCAGTAGTCGGTCCACAAACTTCAAGACGTCTACTGCCACCTCCTCCAGCGCCCAGTCGTCGCCGAAGAGAATGCCGCCGGGGGCCAGCGCCGCCCACGCGTGTTCCACTTCCATCAAGGTTTCATCCCTCAAATGGCTCGCGTCGAGATAGATCACGTCGGGTTGGATGGGCAACAGCGGCTCCTTGTCGCTATTCCTGAACGACCGGCTTTTGCTTTTCTGTAGGGGTGCTGAGGAGAGAGCTGCAGCTGTAGATGGGTTCTTTTCACGATCCTGCTGCTCGCTAGGTCTGCTAGTCCCCCCTTTAAACTCCTTCTCCTCAAACTCTTCGTGCTCGTGTAGTTGTTGTTCTTGGTCGTACCTAATCTCATGATTATCCTCTTCGCTGTCGTCGTCATACAGTGGCAAGCTGGCCGGCGGCTGCACTTTCGTCAATAGCAGTCGCAACGCCGAGAGCGTTGTTTGTGGCCAGACTGCAATGACCTGCTCTAGCCCGGCGTGGCGGACATTGGCGATGAACTGGTCGATATGCATTGCAAATACGTCTGGGTCTGGAAGAATTGGAACCTGTCATGCGATTGCTGGAATAGGCAAAAATTTGTATTGCATAAGCACCATAAGCTTTCCATTTCTTGCTACGCAAATAGAGAATTTCTCATGCGGGATAGACATCAGGAGGCCTGCGCAAAACCTGTAGTGCTTTTGCGTGCATTAGAGACCAGTTGCGTGATCCAGAAGATGCATGACAAACTCCTGCAATCTTCCAGACCCCAGACCACATATTTGTATTTGATAGTCGAGGAGCTTTGAGCTGCCATCCTTGTAGAGCATTTGGTCCAGCACGGACGTTGACGTTGTACTGCGTTTCGGCGCGCTACTAGTACCGCTTTGCGCTACCGCCGTGCTGCCGGTAATACTAGTACCTTTACTTTCTACTTTGTTTTCCTTTTCCTTTCTCTTCCGTGTTCGTTTCAAATCCTCTACTAAGGTCGATACGAAGCTGGACCCGAACACGAAACTGTCGACGCAGAGAACGAAGAAGTCGTCGTCTGGGGAGGAGGCAGCTGTATTTTTCCTCGATTCTTGCTCCACCTCCTGACCGTTCTGCAGCTTTCGTCGTCTGGCATGATAGTAAATATTTGCGTTCTTCAAGATTCTTGCCGCCCGGATGCAACTCTGTCCGCGGAAGGAGCCCAGCTCCAGCCAAAACTTCACCGGCCGGTTCAAGCCGCGGGTGACCAAGTCGACGTCAGTATCGTACGAAAAAAGTGTTACTTACAGTAATTGAAGGACTATAAGGGAAAAAATCAAAACTACCTTCAGAAGAAAATTCTTCAGAAGACTCTTCAGAAGAGTCGACGAACCTTCTGAAGGTTCTAAAAAGAGCAGTTCAAAAAACGGCCAAAGTGGAAAGGAAGTCAGATCCTGCGCCGCGAAAATTTATTTTTTTTTGTGAACCTTCAGAAGGTAACTACCTTCAGAAGGTCTGATTTTGACCTTCAGAAGGTTTTTCATCAAAAAAATCTTCTGAAGGTTTGGCTCACGTTGATTTTGAACCTTCCTGAAGGTTTTGACCTTCTGAAGGTTGATTTTTCAAAACCTTCTGAAGGTTAAAAATGAAAAACGTCATTTTTTGCCGAAAAATGCAAAAAAAAAGGGCCAACCTTTTTTGACCTTCTGAAGGTCGAAAAACCTTCAAGAAGGTCTTCTGAAGGTTGAAAGCTAAAAAGCTTCTGAAGCTTTCTTCAGAAGAAATGTCAATTCTTCTGAAGGTTTCTTCAGAAGGTTTCTTCTGAAGGTCTGCTTAGCGTTTTCTACCCATTGAAAAAAATGTGTCACGAAGGCGCCGACGATTTGCCAGTCAGGCCCTTTTCACGCTGTGGAACAAGCCCGGATGGAAATCACTGCTTATTAGCTGCTTCGCGCACTGCTATCGCCGTTTCGCTTGCTCGCGAGATTTTCGCCGTGTGGAAAGAGCCCGACTGGGCCTCCTTCGCGTTTAGACGCTTCGCGCACTGCTGTCGCGGTTCTGGTCGCTCAAGCGCCTAGCACTTTGACAAGCGCCTACCAAAGCTGCCCGCTTTTGTAAAAGCAAAAAGCGAGGCCGGGCGAGGTAGCGAACAGCAGGCGAGCTCTTTCCTGGTTTCTTCCTGATCTGGCCGGGCTTCTGAAAAAAAAAACTGCCAAAGCTGGCCACTTTTGTAAAGCGAGAAGCGACCTCGTTGCTTGTTTGCTAGGCTGGGCCTCAGAGACGAAGCCAAAAGCTGCCTGGCCGCCTCTGTCTTCCTTCGAATTTGGCCACTTCGAGAGAAGCCAAACGCGGCCACTCTAATAGAGGCGACAAAGTCGAGCGCGAAAATTTTTCAGGACAGACAGAATTTGCCACAGACGCTGAAGAGTTGTTTTATTTTTTCCCACGCGGCGCACGCCGCGTGGATTGGTTCTTACACACTGTCTTGCAGGCCAAGCAAGACAGACAAGCTCTGTCATGCCGGATATGCATAAGAGCCTCGCTTCATAGATGTTTCCCCTAGGATTTCTGCATTACAGGTTTTCTCTCTCATGCAGGGACATTTGTGTTGCTGAATTGCCTACAAATGTGTAACTGTAACACTTTTTTCGTGGGATAATCAGCCTTCTCGAGGTGGGTCCGCCAGGTGCCATCGGAAAACCGGTCGTCCACCGCGTCTTCGTATGAACTGCAAAAGTATCGTACTAGTAGTATATTGCAATACAAATTAGCTCAGCATGACAAATGGAATTTGTCGTGCTTTTTTGCCTTGCGATAGAGATTCTTAATGCGTGACTGCGATTACTACGAGCAAGATACCTTTGCACAGGATACTTCGAGATTTGGTGTTTTTTCGTCGAGCAAATGCTGCGGAAGCTCCTTTTCCGCGAGCAGATCTCGCCCACCGTACAGCCGGTCCACGAAGGCTTTCCGGAGGAGGCTGTGGTGCGAGAAAAGTTCTTTTGCATCGTGGTCAACAGTTGAAGCGGCGCGAAGGGAGCAGTGAACGACCAGGTGCAAAATTTTGAAGACCCAGGCAAGCTTTATTAAAAACATCTTCTTCACAGTTGTATTTTGTACAGGAGCCGTAGTCGCTGTGCTGAATACAAGAGAGGACTGATACACTTGGTGTGGTACCGTGCTGCCGGTTGTAGTAGTGCACACGGGTGATAAGCGCTACTTGCAGGAGGAGCTACCGTGGCTGAAGATGTCTAAGAAGATGCTGTGGCCGCACTGCCCCAAACGCGTCGACAGGCACACTGTAGCTGTACAAGAAACTTCACAAATCTTCGAAAAAAAGCAGTCAAAAACCCCGAAATTTTTCCCCTGGTGGGTTCAAAGATCTTGCGGCTTGAGCAGTCATGCTCATGCGTGATCTGCTGTAGACAAAAAAAAAAAACGACATTCGTATGATCCAAAGCACGACTGCTGAACAACACAATGTCGACAGCAAATACAACGCGCAAGTAGGCACAAACCGCACGAAGTACTAGCCGTCTTTTTCCCGTCTCCGGGAAACAACAAGCGCGCGCTGCTCTACACCGGTACTACATTTTTGAATCATACAGCCGAGCGTAGTTTTTCTTTATTCAAAAAGCAGGAGCACCACCTTAACCTTGGCTAGTATTACGCCTGTCGTACTACTAGTACTTCATCTAGGTGTGCTCGTCAATAGGTTCTCTACTTTCAATTTCCGCTTGTTACAGCCTCCTATCGTCCATTCTGCACTTTGACTTCAGTGCTGTGATTCTTTTGTTGGACCGAATAGTTCGCACGAGTTTTCAATTACTGCCGACTTGAATGCCCGGTGGTCATAAAAATCTTTTATTTTTCGTCCATAGAAGTGATGTCAAATACGAAACTGTTTCCACGGTCTTCGTCTTTCATCCCCCCTAGAAGAGGTTCCACCGTCCGAAGAAGATTCGAGCCCATCTGGAGTTAGCTACCCCTCGTTGTAACTCGAGCTCGGCTATCCTGTGCAGCAAAGGTGTACTATCGTACGTGTCGTAATTGCAAATGTGCATGACAAAGACAAATGTCTCTCCTAGGCTACATCAGAATTACAATCTGCATCCATCATGCTGAGCAAATATGTGATCTTCATGCAATAATTTCTACTAGTTGTACTACGGTCCTTTCGCTCAGGATATCGGCGTGGAATCTTTACTCGCCGTCGACATTCGACTCGAGTGGTAGTTTCTACTCCCTTATGCATCGTAAATATCACTCTTGGTTAGCTGGATTTATTGTGATGCGAAATTTGAAGGACAACAAGATCTGAATCTGTTATATATGCAGGTAGAACTGAACAAGATATGGCGAGACTTCTTTTCATGTGCAGCCTTGTTACATCCAGACGTCGTCCAAGGATATTTTTGTATTGGATATCCCCATAGTTGTTCCCGCCGCATGAGAACTACTTCCAAAATTTGTACCACCGCCACTGCTCATCAAAGCTCGGCTGGGATCCGTCAACGTGCGGGGCGTTGGCCGGGGCGTCGAACTGATGTAGTCGGTTTCCAAAATCTGCTCTTCGGTTGGTAGCTCGAATATGCATTGCGCCAGTACTATCGTAATGGTACTAGAATAATCGCATGACAAATTCCACCCTCAGCATGACTGGACTAAAAATGCGGTGGATTTAATACCATAAAAACTGACAAAGAGCTTTGTATGTAATGCACATGACTACAAATGCAAAAATTTTCATTTCTAGTACGAGAACCAGTACGATTTACTTTTGCAATGCATATGGAACTCCATAGCGCGATACGCAAACAGAGCGTAGGGATGGGCCTTGATGTGGGGCTCCAGGGCCAGCTTCAGGCAGCAAGTGAGGGGCACCTGAATAGGTTCTTTGGTATTAATTTTCATTTTGGTGCAATACTTCTCTAGTACATAGTAATGGTGAAGCAATATGATGTGACGCTCACATCAAAAGGAACCTCCTGTACCGACAGCACCGCGCCAACCACTCCCCAGAGCGAGCTCCAGACCACCAAGCAGAACATGATGACAATGGGGTGCAGTTTATCCAACGTAAAAACGGGACCGCCCACTACACACCTGAGTCCTGAAGGTGAGCACTTTGCGACACAAATCAAGCAACAAGTTTTGACTGCTGTTGCGCATGAGGTGGTTGCTGGGCGAGCAATCTCATTGCGTTTAGCATGTGTGAAGCCGCGGCACCGGCATCTCTTATTTTGGCATGACAAACACTCAGACAGCATTTAGACAATGCCTGCTCTCATAGAAGTGCCTGCGCATGAGACACAACACACACACAAGTTTAGCTTTAGGCTTCTTGCAGCCTTGCATGCCAAGTAGTCTCTCTCGGGTGGAAGCGTCGGCAATATTACTCATGATACAACTCGAACGAAGATCCGAAAAAGTAGGGCTCCATATCGTAAAGAAAAATCCTATCCACCCCATACCCAAGGCGGCGGCTTCCCGGTCGCCAATTTCCAGGGGGCTCCCCGGGGGTGGCACAATTTCCGAGGGGCGGCCTCCCGGTCCGTCGCCTGGTCGACCAGGCGAGCGAAAGGGCGCCCCCCCTACCTTGTCTGATCCACTTCCGGCACGGTATGCGGCCAAAAGGTGGCGCAATTTCTCGACAGGTTCACTCTTTTCGCTCGCCTGGTCGACCAGGCGAGCGAAAGGGGCGGCGGCCCTGTCTGATCCACTTCCGGAACGGTCGGCATGCGGCCACAAGGTGACGCAATTTTTCGGCAAGTTCTTTTCGCTCGCTTGGTCGACCAAGCGAGCGAAAGGGGCGTCTGCCCTGTCTGATCCACTTCGTTCCGGCACGGTATGCGGCCACAAGGTGACGCAATCTCTCGACAGGTTCTTTTCGCTCGCCTGGTCGACCAGGCGAGCGAAAGGGGCGTCGGCCCTGCCTGATCCACTTCCGGCACGGTATGCGGCCACAAGGTGCCGCAATTTTTCGGCAAGTTCTTTCCTTTCGCTCGCCTGGTCGACCAGGCGAGCGAAAGGGGCGCCGGCCTTGTCTGATCCACTTCCGACACGGTATGCGGCCACTAGGTGACGCAATTTCTCGACAGGCTCTTTTCGCTCGCCTGGTCGACCAGGCGAGCGAGAGGGGCGTCGGCCCTGTCTGATCCACTTCCGGCACGGTATGCGGCCACAAGGTGCCACAATTTTTCGGCAAGTTCTTTCCGCTCGTCTGGTCGACCAGGCGAGCGAGAGGGGCGGCGGCCCTCCCTGTCTGATCCACTTTCGGCACGGTATGCGGCCACAAGGTGCCGCAATTTTTCGGCAAGTTCTTTTCGCTCGCCTGGTGGGTCGACCAGGCGAGCGGAAGGGGTGTCGGCCCTGTCTGATCCACTTCCGGCATGGTATGCGGCCACAAGGTGCCGCAATTTTTCGGCAAGTTCTTTTCGCTCGCCTGCCCTGGTGGGTCGACCAGGCGAGCGGAAGGGGTGTCGGCCCTGTCTGATCCACTTCCGGCATGGTATGCGGCCACAAGGTGCCGCAATTTTTCGGCAAGTTCTTTTCGCTCGCCTGGTCGACCAAGCGAGCGAAAGGGGCGTCGGCCCTGTCTGATCCACTTCCGGCACGGTATGCGGCCACAAGGTGCCGCAATTTTTCGGCAAGTTCTTTTCGCTCGCCTGGTCGACCAAGCGAGCGAAAGGGGCGTCGGCCCTGTCTGATCCACTTCCGGCACGGTATGCGGCCACAAGGTGCCGCAATTTTTCGGCAAGTTCTTTTCGCTCGCCTGGTCGACCAAGCGAGCGAAAGGGGCGTCGGCCCTGTCTGATCCACTTCCGGCACGGTATGCGGCCACAAGGTGCCGCAATTTTTCGGCAAGTTCTTTTCGCTCGCTTGGTCGACCAAGCGAGCGAAAGGGGCGTCGGCCCTGTCTGATCCACTTCCGGCACGGTATGCGGCCACAAGGTGCCGCAATTTTTCGGCAAGTTCTTTTCGCTCGCTTGGTCGACCAAGCGAGCGAAAGGGGCGTCGGCCCTGTCTGATCCACTTCCGGCACGGTATGCGGCCACAAGGTGCCGCAATTTTTCGGCAAGTTCTTTTCGCTCGCTTGGTCGACCAAGCGAGCGAAAGGGGCGTCGGCCCTGTCTGATCCACTTCCGGCACGGTATGCGGCCACAAGGTGCCGCAATTTTTCGGCAAGTTCTTTTCGCTCGCTTGGTCGACCAAGCGAGCGAAAGGGGCGTCGGCCCTGTCTGATCCACTTCCGGCACGGTATGCGGCCACAAGGTGCCGCAATTTTTCGGCAAGTTCTTTTCGCTCGCTTGGTCGACCAAGCGAGCGAAAGGGGCGTCGGCCCTGTCTGATCCACTTCCGGCACGGTATGCGGCCACAAGGTGCCGCAATTTTTCGGCAAGTTCTTTTCGCTCGCTTGGTCGACCAAGCGAGCGAAAGGGGCGTCGGCCCTGTCTGATCCACTTCCGGCACGGTATGCGGCCACAAGGTGCCGCAATTTTTCGGCAAGTTCTTTTCGCTCGCTTGGTCGACCAAGCGAGCGAAAGGGGCGTCGGCCCTGTCTGATCCACTTCCGGCACGGTATGCGGCCACAAGGTGCCGCAATTTTTCGGCAAGTTCTTTTCGCTCGCTTGGTCGACCAAGCGAGCGAAAGGGGCGTCGGCCCTGTCTGATCCACTTCCGGCACGGTATGCGGCCACAAGGTGCCGCAATTTTTCGGCAAGTTCTTTTCGCTCGCTTGGTCGACCAAGCGAGCGAAAGGGGCGTCGGCCCTGTCTGATCCACTTCCGGCACGGTATGCGGCCACAAGGTGCCGCAATTTTTCGGCAAGTTCTTTTCGCTCGCTTGGTCGACCAAGCGAGCGAAAGGGGCGTCGGCCCTGTCTGATCCACTTCCGGGACGGTATGCGGCCACAAGGTGCCGCAATTTTTCGGCAAGTTCTTTTCGCTCGCTTGGTCGACCAAGCGAGCGAAAGGGGCGCCGGCCCTGTCTGATCCACTTCCGGCATGGTACGCGGCCGCAAGGTGCCGCAATTTTTCGGCAAGTTCTTTTCGCTCGCCTGGTCGACCAGGCGAGCGAAAAGGGCGTCGGCCCTGTCTGATCCACTTCCGGCACGGTGTGCGGCCACAAGGTGACGCAATTTCTCGACAGGCTCTTTTCGCTCGCTTGGTCGACCAGGCGAGCGAAAGGGGCGGCGGCCCTGTCTGATCCACTTCCAGCACGGTACGCGGCCACAAGGTGACGCAATTTGTCGGCAAGTTCTCTTCGCTCGCTTGGTCGACCAAGCGAGCGAAAGGGGCGCCCGCCCTGTCTGATCCACTTCCGGCACGGTATGCGGCCTCAAGGTGACGCAACTTTTCGGCAGGTTCTCTCCGCTCGCCTGGTCGACCAGGCGAGCGAAAGGGGCGCCGGCCCTGTCTGATCCACTTCCGGCACGGTATGCGGCCTCCCGGTCGCCTGGTCGACCAGGCGAGCCGGTAGGTAGGTGGGTAAATTCCACTTTGATCAGGGGGAGGGAGAATTTTTCACCTTGATACTCCAACACGTTTCCGCAGAGAATGTGCAGCAACCCTGGTTATCCAATGCAAAAAGTCTAGGTTTGGAAACTTATATATGGTCGGCTGTGTTTGTGAATCTGAATTTCTCGTAGTCGTAAGTGATAAAATCTGTTTCCATAATGCACAACCAAGCGTGAGAAATATTATTTGCGCGGCTAGGCCTTGCGCTTTCGCCATAAAGACTACAATTCAATTACAAACGGCGACTTTGCATGACAAGCAATACTAGGGTGTCTTCTTGGATATCACGCATCAAAGAGATACTCTCATAGTCATGCCAGACGAGCAGGATTAACTTTGCATCCTTCTAGACCCAGGCATATTTGCAATGCATACCGGTATGATAAACACGATCAAGATGTCCGACACCTGTTTCGTTGGGTCCAAAAACGTGATCACGGTGGGTAAGATCAAACTAATCGCGCCGCCGACGGTCGGGATGAAGTTCAGCAGAAACGCCATCACGGTAAAAACGAACCAGAAGTCGACTTGCACCGCTAACAGCGTGGTGCCCACCCCGCACCCGAGAATCAGAGACATGAGCGTCTTCAGCAGAATGTACTTCTGGATCTGGTCTTTCGCCTTTGGTGCGAAGGATTCAAAATAGTGCGGAGACGAGCGTGTGGAGGTCGTGTGGTGTGGTAGCTGCGGCTGTCTCGGGTCCCGAGTCCCACGCGCGGCCAACAGGGGCGGTGCTGCCCCATGCTGCGTGGTCGGAGACGTGAGAAAGGGCGTGACCTTGCTCGCGTTGTTGTTACTGAGCGCGTGATCCATACTCAACTCCGCGGCAGCGACGGTGGCGTGCAAGTGCTGCGGACTGGTCGTGCTAGCCGCTGTCGACACGATATCGGCGATGGACGGGGAATAGTCCGACTCCGCTTCATATGCAGCGCAAAAGCGTCGTATTCGTATTGCAGTCATGCATTACAAATCTTTTTCTTGAGGTAGATCAGCATTACAAATTAATTTTCTTTCTCATGCTGAGGACATGTACATGATTTGTAATGCATTTATACGAGTACGATAGCACTGTTGCACTGCGTACTTCACTGTTGTATATCGAAGCGCCGTTCATCGTACTTGTATTTTTGAATCTGTCTACTCCTGTCGTAGTAGGCATGACAATCGGCACGCCCGGAACGGTATGAATTGCAAAAGTATCGTACTAGTATATATAAATCGCATGACAAATCTCCTCAGCATGAAAAATAAAATTTGTAATGCGTATTTCTTGGGCAGAAAGTTGCCCTAAGGAATCTGATTCCAACAAATTTGGTTTTTTTTTGTCGTCGCGAAAATCACCAGAAAGGTCGCGGCCCTTCCTGCGGCCATGGTCGGGAAAATTGAAATGCCGAGGCCTGCCAGGTTGGAGCGTTCGCGATGTAGGCCCGACTTGCGCGGGAGGCTGCCCAGCCATCCGGGCCCACAGCACTAATTCTGCAGCCGCGACATGGATTGCGTTCACCCAGCGTGGCGTCCTGCTTCCCGGGCAGGAAAAGTTCTCAACCCCCAATTTTACCCCCCAACCGTATCGCCTTCCCAAATTTTTTTTGTGCAAAAACAAATTTTTCCCAAATTCCGCTTGTTCGAAAAAAAAATTCTTTTTGTGCAAACAAAAGCACCCGAATTGGCTCGGGACGGCAAAAACCCTAAGGAATCGCCTGACTTTGGGAATTTTAAAAATTTGCTTTGTTGGCCAAGTGTGGCCCGCCTGCGGTCCGTCTGTGGTCCGTCCGTGGTCCTCCGGAAATTTGGGCGCCGAAAAACGGGCCCGCCTGCGATTTATTTTTGGCTGAATTTTGGAGAAAAGGGGCAGACGCTTTCACGGCCAAAATAATCACTAAAACGGCTCGCGGGCCATGGGGCGATGGGCTGTCAGCCGCAAGTTTTATGCTGCACCAAGCCTGCGGCTTCAACAGGCCTCGCGGCGAAAACTCCTCCACGCCGGCCGCAGACCCAGCCTGCTGGGCATCTCGGCCCATACCAGCGCAACGCGCCACAAAACAGAGACGACAGAAAATTTCAAAAACTTTTGCAATTTGTTGAAGATTTTTTCGTTAGGGGTACTTTCGCGCTAATATTTCACTTGAGAAAGAAATTTGTAATGCATGAACGCGATTAGTACGAGTACGATACTTTTGCACAGCATAAACGGTACCTGTCGCAGAAGATCGCACGTGCGCCACGTCTATCAAATGCAAAGATGTCTGGGTCTGGAAGATTCTCAGACCTGTCATGCACGGTTTGCGTGAGCCATGATGTCTGTGATGCATGCCCTAGCATCACAGTTTTTTTAAAGGGATTCTTGATGCCTATTCCGCATGACAAATGCCCTCTCCGCGTAGCAAAAATCAGATTCCTTTTGCTGGTCATGCAATACAGATTTTTTTGGAATCCAAATGCAGCATCACAAGTTGCATTCTTCCAGATCCACATCCAGACATTTTTCCATTTGATAACGGTGGTAACGTCAGAAAGTTCTCGATCCAGATCGGAGGCGGTATGTTGACGTTGGTGGTGCAGAGAAAGATTTGTCCCCGAAGCTGTTGTAGCGCTCCCGCTCGTCACTGTGCCGGTTTTCTTCGCCTGCGTCTCCTGCAACACCCCGAGGAGTAAAAATCCGAGGATCATCAACACCAAGAAGCCCGTCGACAAGAAATGCAAAACCCCGCCGACAAATTGGGTCAAGGGGTCCTCGATTTTCCGGACCACTTCGTCGACCGTGATCTCCACCCCTAGTGACCGCAGGTAGTTTATCAAATCCTGCACCCGCGGTGATTGGTAGTACTTGCTGAGTTATCCTGTGCAAAAGCATCGCACTCCTACTAAAAATCGCAGTCATGCAACACAAATTTCTTTTTCAACCTAAATCAGCATGAAAAATTCCATTTCTCATGCTGAGCTAATTTGCATTGCAATACTACAAGTACAATGCTTTTCTTTGCAGTTCATATGAATTTGGATTTATCGAACAGATTCGACAGCCCGTAGAACACCAGGAAGACAAAGAGCAGCATATGACAGTGCACAACTCCCCCTCCCCCTCGTTTGTCATGCAAAGTACCAAACTCACACCTTGCTCGTAAGCACTGCTAGCATGACAAATTTTGGAACCTCAAATTAGTACTACAATCCGCATGAAAATTTGTCATGCGAAAACCCCTTTTCTGCTGTTGCTTGTGTTGCTCTTCATGCGATACAAATGAGGGGGAGGGGGAGTTGTGCACCGTCATACAGCACCGACGCGAGACAGATGAGGATAATCAACAAATCGGAAATCACGTGAATCGCCTTCTTCAGGTAGCTTATCCCACGAAAAAACTGTTTCACTGTGATGATCATCTTGCAAGATCTGCATCACAAGTTTGTTACACATGACGCAGAAAATTTGCCATGCGCGCTTCCAAAGGGAAAACACGGCTAAAGAGTCGAGGTCTTGCAGGTGTGGCAAGACAAATGCGTTCTGTCTTCCATTCTATGCATCACAAGTTCACAGCGAAACAGTTTTTTCTTGCCATATAGCTGTAGAAAAGTGCAATGTTCCTCCGGGACGAGGGCCTTGTAGCTGTAGGCGAATATGCTGTGCAAAATTATCGCACTCGTAGTAATCGCTCCTGTCATGCATTACAAATCTCCTTCTTACAACCTATATCCGCATTACAAATTCCAATTTTCATGCTGAGGAAATTTGTCATGCGATTTCTACTTAGTACGATGCTTTTGCATTTCATAGCGAAAGCGGTGAGACAACTGTCGCGGAAGAAGTAGGACCGGTTGTACTGGCGATTCCCGTCGGCGTTCTCGCACCGCCACTCACGTGGTCGCCCAGATTCATATGATCGTTTGCTCCGCCACTAGCTGTGAAATGCCTCGCGGATGAAGTAGATGTTGCCATAGTAGCCTGCTCGTAGTTCGCGCAATAAGAGTCCAGTTGCTTCACGAGCAGATCTATCAAATGCAAAAATGTCTGGGTCTGAAAGATTGCCAGACTTGTCATGCATATTTTGCATGGCCCTTGATGCCTGTAATGCATGGCCTAGCATCACATATTTCTAGAGGGCTTCCTGATGCGTATTCTGCATCAGAAATGCCCTCTCCGTGTACACCAAATTGGACTTCTCTTGCTGGTCATGCAATACAGTTTTTTTTCGAAATCGGATCCGCAAAAAGCATCACAAGTTCCACCTTTCCAGACCCAGACATTTTTACATTTGATAAGATCCCGGGGCTTGGCCAGCAATTTGGCGACCTTCTCGAAGAGCTGCAAGAGAAAGACCGCGAGCGCGAAGGGGATCATATGAATTGCAAAAGCATCGTACTAGTGGGAATTGCATTACAAATTACCTTAGCACGACAAATGGAATTTGTGATGCTGTTTCACCGTGAGATGGAGATTTGTAAATGCATAATTGCAACTACTACGAGTACGATACTTTTGCACAGCATAGATCAGAATTTCCTGGAGCTGCACCATCGCGTAGCAGACAATCGTAATCAGAATCGCGAGCTGCGTCAGGCTCGACAAATGCCGCTCCGCTTGGCCAAGCACGAAAGCCCGGGTGGACTGCTGCGAAGGCTCCATTCTTGCGGAGGTGGAGGACCGGGAAGTAGAGCGCTGCGCGAACGCTTCCTCCATGGTGCCTGAGTCGTGCTGCTATGCAGTTCCACGACACAACTGTGACGCAGGCCAAAAAAGAAAGACCGGGAGTTTAGGCTGTTTCGTTTTTTTGCTTCAATACGCAAGCCGTGCTTCCATCACGCAGCCGTCTTGTTCTAAATGTTTATCTTTTTCCACGTATTAATTTACACCGCGTAAATACGCTCACACATTCTTCTTTCTCGGTCGCCCGCCCTCAAATTTGTTGTTGCCTTGGGTACAGTGGTGAACAAGACTCTACTCAGTTCGGCATTTTGAATTTGATGTTTGGTACACCCACATGGGAGGTCACGACTACTTTCTGTTTCTGCAGGAGCTACTCGACAAACAAATCCTTTTCCATTTTTTCGTGCGGATCATGGTCTCCGGGCATAGAAGAAAGACGAGAACAAGCGTCTGTTGACATGTCGTAAACAAGAATTTTGGTAGTACTCATGCTTTCAAGCTGCAAAGAGGAAAGACAGCCGCTTCGCAACACGGCGAAGGACGATTCGGAATGATTTTTTTCTGGTTCCATTAACAATCCGGTTTATTTTCCACTGTGATTTAGTTGCTGCACCTCTTATTTCCCGATCGCCGCCTTGTGTTACAAAAAAACCCTTGCTACGGCTCTTGCATACGACTACTACTTCCTACGTATCGACAACGATGTACTAACTGTGATAGACATAGGCTACGCTATGCTACGCTACTTCTGAGTTGTATCCATAAGAGTTTACTGTTTTTTCTGCATAAGTACCTCCACTGTTCTTGCTTTGCTATTGCTAATAAATCAGTTTCGCCCGAAGATGGTGCACGAAAGAAGCACAAGCAGGTGAAAAAAATGTGAAGTAAAAAATCTCTAGATCTGAACAATTGGTGAACCCGTTCATGCAAGAAATGCTATATGCAAGAAACACTTGATATTGATATAACTTTAGCCCCCGCCGCTTCCCCGCTCCTTCTCTTCTTCCATGTGAATCTTGGCCTGCACAGTGTCCCAGCTATCCTGAGGAAAAACGTACCCACACCAGAGTCAAGATAGCAAGAAATCTGCTACACAAATCAAACAGCTTCGGTTGTTGCGCATGACAAGTAGCTTGGCCTCTTAGTGTAATGATCCTGTTTAGCTCGTTCAGCAGCATCACATATCTAGTCTTGTATGCAGATTGGAGCATTCCAAATTCCAAAGGACGACTAAAAAACGCTTCTCATCATGGGGCTCCGCATGCGAAACATTTTCTTTGGGCATGCAGATTCGCATGACAAGAACTAGAACTACAAGCAGGTGGGGACGTTTTTACCTAGGATACCAGTCGTGTGGCACTTCCGCCGAGTACTGCTTGAACTTCTCGTTGGTCTCGACGTGCCGCATCTTATCAGATTGCAACAGTGTCTGGATCTAGGAGATTGCGAGATTTGTCATGCTTGTCTGGCATGAATCCGAGTTCTGTGTTGCGTGGCCGCGAGCAGCTTGTCTATCCTGTCACGCAAGAATGCACTTTAGTCTCATGCGGAGGACGCAACTCAGTCTCAGAACCACGGAAAAAATTGTCACGTTTGGGAGCGCATTACAGTGTACTGATTAACGTCATACCATGCGGATTGTAATTTGAATTGTGGCGAAATTGTGACGGATTTGTGACGGACAGCGTTTTTCATTTCCAGGCGCCTCACGCTGGCTTGAGGAACTAGCCAAGAAGGTGCGCTGCGCTACTTTGACTGCAGCGGCTGCGCGCGAATTTTGCGCCATTGCTCGCGCTCCACCTGAGCCTTGAGCTTGACCTTCCAAGGCCTGCTGAGAAAAGAAAGGCATCACTTCCCAAAGCATTACCCGGCAAGCGCCCGCTTGCATCTAGTTCGGCCGGGGGGACTAAAAACCGGACCGCAGTCGCTGCGAAGCGGCAACAGGTGGGTCGCCACGTAAAAGAAAGGCCAACATGCGCTGCAGAAACAAAGCGCAAGACCGTCGACGGCCCGGAGGGCCGGCGACGAGAAATTTTCGCCCATGCCAGCTACTCGACCGGCAAGGAAAAAACACAACCGGCCGAACGGGCATGGGGAGAGTCCCGAGGGCGAAAACACCGCGCCCGCGACGAGGAAAGCGCTATCTTTCTCACTTTAGCACCGATCTCGTCAATTTGTGACGGCGATCAGAGTTCGGTCAGATTTAGGTCAGAAATCCAGAATGTAATATAGGGACAGGATTTCTGACCCAAATCAGACCTAATTCTGACCTCCGTCACAAATTCTGAACAGAGGCCATGATCTTCGTCACAAATCGGATCAGGCCCACTGATCTTCGTCACAAATTGTTGATCTCCGTCACAAATTGTTGATCTTCGTCACAAATGGTTGATCTTCGTCACAAATGGATGATCTCCATTTCAAATGGCTGATCGCCATTTCAAATGGGTGATCTCCATTTCGAAAGGCTGAAAGCCATTCAAAGTTGACGACTTCCATCCCAAATCATCGACCCCACATCAGGCTACTGCCACATTTGCCATCCCCAGACCACCACGTAGGCCTCGCCCTTGCTTCGGCGCCTAGCCAAAGCTGAAGTCTATGGCGCCCGCACCAGGGTAGTGCGCTGCTCCATGTACCCACGTAGGGCGTAGTCAACGCATTACCGCGGTGAGGCTGTGACGCGGAAGAGAATGACCCGAAGGCACTGCTGAGATAGCTCCTGCGATGCCACCGAGTGCATCTGAAGAGCGCCCCACTTTCAAAAACCCTGTCCGTCACAAATCCGTCAACATTTGGTCAACTTTCTATTCTGCGCCGGGTGGTACAGCGTTAGTAACTGACTATTTCCTTTCTTGCATCACAACTTTCCAGACCCGGACATATAATTTTCACTGGATACATCTGCTTCAAATGCCTTTCCCGGTACGCAAGGACCTGATCAATCATGGGCTTCGTGTTGTATCTATTCTCTTTACATGTGTCGCACTTATCAACTTTTTCTGCCGATTACCTCGCATTACGAGTGTGCGAACTAGTCAGGAGGGTTCCGAACTCGAAGCGGGAAGGAGGAGCAAAAAACCACACGAGCAAAAAGCGGCCAGCAGAAATGGCTAATCCCCCTGTATTAAATCTGCCCCAGCAGAAATGAGCAGAAATAATTTCTGCTGGCCAAAAATTGCAGTCGTCATGACATTCCAGGTCTTTCGCAAACAAGCTGAAAGCGACATTCTCAGGGGGAGAGCGCACTACGAACTCTGAAAAAAGTTCGCGGCATTCTCAAAACGAAAGAAAAAACCACAAGAGCAAAAAGCGGCCAGCAGAAATCGCTAATCCCACTGTAAATCTGCCCCAGCAGAAATGAGCAGAAATGATTTCTGCTGGCCAAAAGTTGCAGTCGTCATAACATTCCAGGTCTTTCGCAAAGAAGCTGAAAGCGAGATTCCCGGGGGGAGAGCGCACTGCGAACTCAGAAAAAAGTTCGCGGCATTCTCAAAACGAAATAAAAAACCGCAAGAGCAAAAAGCGGCCAGCAGAAATGGCTAATCCCACTGTAAATCTGCCCCAGCAGAAATGAGCAGAAATGATTTCTGCTGGCCAAAAATTGCAGTCGTCATGACATTCCAGGTCTTTCGCAAACAAGCTGAAAGCGAGATTCCCGGGGGGAGAGCGCACTGCGAACTCTGAAAAAAGTTCGCGGCATTCTCAAAACGAAAGAAAAAACCACAAGAGCAAAAAGCGGCCAGCAGAAATGGCTAATCCCACTGTAAATCTGCCCCAGCAGAAATGAGCAGAAATGATTTCTGCTGGCCAAAAATTGCAGTCGTCATGAAATTCCAGGTCTTTCGCAAACAAGCTGAAAGCGAGATTCCCGGGGGGAGAGCGCACTGCGAACTCTGAAAAAAGTTCGCGGCATTCTCAAAACGAAAGAAAAAACCACAAGAGCAAAAAGCGGCCAGCAGAAATGGCTAATCCCACTGTAAATCTGCCCCAGCAGAAATGAGCAGAAATGATTTCTGCTGGCCAAAAATTGCAGTCGTCATGAAATTCCAGGTCTTTCGCAAACAAGCTGAAAGCGAGATTCCCGGGGGGAGAGCGCACTGCGAACTCTGAAAAAAGTTCGCGGCATTCTCAAAACGAAAGAAAAAACCACAAGAGCAAAAAGCGGCCAGCAGAAATGGCTAATCCCACTGTAAATCTGCCCCAGCAGAAATGAGCAGAAATGATTTCTGCTGGCCAAAAATTGCAGTCGTCATGAAATTCCAGGTCTTTCGCAAACAAGCTGAAAGCGAGATTCCCGGGGGGAGAGCGCACTGCGAACTCTGAAAAAAGTTCGCGGCATTCTCAAAACGAAAGAAAAAACCACAAGAGCAAAAAGCGGCCAGCAGAAATGGCTAATCCCACTGTAAATCTGCCCCAGCAGAAATGAGCAGAAATGATTTCTGCTGGCCAAAAATTGCAGTCGTCATGAAATTCCAGGTCTTTCGCAAACAAGCTGAAAGCGAGATTCCCGGGGGGAGAGCGCACTGCGAACTCTGAAAAAAGTTCGCGGCATTCTCAAAACGAAAGAAAAAACCACAAGAGCAAAAAGCGGCCAGCAGAAATGGCTAATCCCACTGTAAATCTGCCCCAGCAGAAATGAGCAGAAATGATTTCTGCTGGCCAAAAATTGCAGTCGTCATGAAATTCCAGGTCTTTCGCAAACAAGCTGAAAGCGAGATTCCCGGGGGGAGAGCGCACTGCGAACTCTGAAAAAAGTTCGCGGCATTCTCAAAACGAAAGAAAAAACCACAAAGGCAAAAAGCGGCCAGCAGAAATGGCTAATCCCACTGTAAATCTGCCCCAGCAGAAATGAGCAGAAATGATTTCTGCTGGCCAAAAATTGCAGTTGTCATGAAATTACAGGTCTTTCGCAAACAAGCTGAAAGCGAGATTCCCGGGGGGAGAGCACACTGCGAACTCTGAAAAAAGTTCGCGGCATTCTCAAAACGAAAGAAAAAACTCCAGCAGCAAAAAGCGGCCAGCAGAAATAGCTAATCCTACTGTAAATCTGCCCCAGCAGAAATGAGCAGAAATGATTTCTGCTGGCCAAAAATTGCAGTCGTCATGAAATTCCAGGTCTTTGGAAAACAAGCTGAAAGCGAGATTCCCGAGTGGAGAGCGCACTGCGAACTCTGAAAAAAGTTCGCGGCGTTCTCAAAACGAAAGAAAAAACCACAAGAGCAAAAAGCGGCCAGCAGAAATGGCCAATCCCACTGAAAATCTGCCCCAGCAGAAATGAGCAGAAATGATTTCTGCTGGACAAAAATTGCAGTCGTCATGAAATTTCAGGTCTTTCGCAAACAAGCTGAA